ACGGGTTCTCTGAACTACTTAGAAAGTTACCAACCGGTTCTCCCGAATAGGTGCGAACCGGATGAATCCCACCACTGTCCTCAATTTACAACAGTTCCTTTATGGACCGTTCGAAGTTACAACAGCACTGAAACAAGTGCCTTAGTTTTAAGTTTTTCCCACTTCACAATCATTGCAGCATCCCCCATGATCATGTGATCAAAATTCAGACACTTGGCAACTGACTCATACTTGTGACTGTTGCAGTGTCCCGGGGTCACGTGATTTCGTTGCAAACTTCTGACAAGTCAGTGGGGGACCCAGATTCACTTAACCATGTTACTAACTTAACAGCTGCAGTGATTCACTTAACGTGTGGCAAGAGAGGTCATAAAGAGAGGCAAAACTCCTTGGTCTCGCTCAATTGTAGTTGTAATTTGAAGACTACCTCTAACCACCCATCTCAACAAGTTAGATGAGGTCATAAAGCCAATCAACATACACAGGCTCCCACAGACACACAATTCTGCCCCCACTGTGCTGGCCACATTATTCCATTCATAAGAGAAATTGCTATTGGCAAAATCTCTCAAAATCCAGCACTTCCTGCTTCTCAAACTAAGTCTCCTCTCTCTGGGGCTTGTAGGCATCTTGACCTCTGCCCTTTTTTAAAAAAAATAAGCTCCTTGCCTGCTAGTTTCTCAGAGCGCTGTTTACTCGATTCTGCTTTCTTTTAAACTCTCTTTCTTGATTCTTCCCCCTTAATCTACAATTCATATCCTTAAAAACACTAGGACATTTTTCCTGCCGCCTCTCTGATCGATTACTTTGTTAGATTTATATCTCATCTTTTCCGTGCATGCACAAGATCTGTATAATACTCTTTTTATTTGCTCTCCGTCACAACAATCTTGTCAGGTAGATAACACTAAGAATGTGCCTGGCATAGTCATCAAGGAATTTCTGGATCTAGAACCTGAAATTCTCTAGATAGCCTGACACCTTAAGCCTGACCTACCAGGGCTCCCTTTTATCGTAATTTCTTAATCCCCAAATGTTTCTGTAGTTTTTCAGACTTTTGAACCCTTAATTCATTTCCCAAGGTTCTACAAAGTCTTGTGACTTTTTCAGAGTTTTATGTTCATTCCTCCTCCGAGAAGCTTGGCTGTTCCATTGTTCCACTGTTTCATTTTTGAAGGAGCCGAATATTTATTTTTGTCACAGCAGCTCAGCCAATCTATCTTGGAGATGTCACTAATTAATACCCTTAGGTGTGATGCAGTAAATGTTTTTGTTATTCTGCATTAACAAAGCCACATGTATCTTGACGAGAGCCAGTGCCTCTGCCATTAGCTGAAGAGCCAGCGTAGGTCCTGATAGGCATGATGTGGAAATTGCATTTGTGGCTCAAAAATCTCTCTCCTCACGCTTTTTCCCTCAGGTTTCCTTAGAGAACGGAGATGCCACAACTCCAGAGAAGAACAGCTCCTGTGCCTCAGGTACTGGCCTAGTAGAATCCTATGTTATTAAGTCTTTAAGTAAGTAACTGGCCAGGTTTCTTTGCTTTCTTGAAAATACTGAGAGTTGAAATATGGACTTAAGTATTGTTCTTCTACTCCACCCTATCTGGGTTTGAGACTTCTTGTTGTTTGTGTGAAGATAATTCCCTGTTCTGTGATTTTTTAAAAAAAGAAATAAGGAAGTTGGGCTGTTCCTTTACCCCGGGGTACTTTTGCGCTTCTCTTGCAGACCTGGAGATGCTTTCTTCTTACCTGCCCCAGCTGCAAGGCCCTGTCCTAGAACTGGCGGATGCCGTCCGTCTACCTTTGGAAGAGCTGCTAATGGAAGGGGATCTTCTCGAAGTGACGCTAGACGAGAGCCAGAGCATTTGGCGCTTGCTACAGGCTGCCTGCGCTCCCCAGCTCCACAAATTCCAGCAGCTACTGGATGTGAGTGTCATTCTGACAGTCGTCAAATACTCCCAGCTGTTCTTGTTTGTGTGGGTTTCCAGATCTTCTTTGTGAAGGTGGTGATGGCTGCCTCTAATCAAAAGGCTAGTAGGGCATTTTTAGCCACAAAATTTGCCATTTTTGTTAGCATCTCAGAAGCCAGAGTCAGATTTTAAGATTCTTTAGAAGTTGGTATCAAACAGGAAAGGGAAAAATATGTTTGCTGCTTTCCCACAAAGTGGCAGTCAAGTACAGAAATGAAAATGTATTTTCCCCCCCTTCTTGTGTGATGGCTTTATAATAAGAAACAGAGGTACAAGCCAGGAAATCTAAATGCAGATTATTATTTTTTTACATCACTTACGCGATGCTGAAATCTTTTGATTCCAAAATTTATACTATCTGTATGGAAGACTTGGTGAAAGCCTGTTGAGATATACAAGATGAAAAGGGATGGTTCCTATGCTAATAGCTAATGTGAAACAACTCATTCCTTAGGGATCTTTCAAGTGGATCATTTTTCAAAACTTGGAATTTTTAAAGCACCCTCCCACCACCACCAATTTTTCAGTAATTGCAGCAGTTGTTAACTTTTGAATATCAAAGAAAAACAAAATTGCAGCATTCCCTTTGCTTTTTTTAACTGTATAGGTAGCACTCGGCTTACAACCATTCGTTTACTGACCGTTCAAAGTTACAGTAGCACTGAAAAAAGTGGCTTGAGGCTGTTTTTTTCACTTGCAGCCATTACAGCATCCCCATGATTACGCAGTCAAATTTACGTGATCAACATTCAGACACCGGGCAAGTCAGGTGTATTTAGGACTGTTGGAATGTCCCGGGATCACGTCATTCCCTTTTGCGACCTTCTGACAAGCAAAGTCAAGTAGGGAAGCCAGATTCACTTAACAACCCTGTGACTAACTTAACGGCAGTCATTCATTTAACTGTGGAAGAAAGATCATAAAATGGGGCAAAACTCACTTAGCAACTGTCTTGCTTAGCAGCAGAAGTTTGGGGTTCAATTGTGGTTGTAAGTCAAGGACTACTTTATTCCACATCAAGCATTTTTTTTCCGTAGCTAGGATCTGTGCCTATGTATGTTCACAGATTTTTGTTGTGTTCTTATATAGAGTGGAATACTAAATTCTTCAGTAAATGAGGGTGGAACATTGGAAGATGGGAAATGGGCCAAGCTTCTTCTGGTGATAGAAGTTTTCTTTTTTCAGCATTTTGTGATGGGGGTGGGGGTTTGCCTCTTCAATATACTTCTCTTATTCAACAACGGCAACTATGATGGCCAGAAATATGTAATTACTGCAAAAAAAAAACCTCCTATGTAATTATACCTTTTAGCCACATTATTGTGTTTATAAAATACAACCACATGACGCCACACACACACACACACACACACACACACACACATATTACAAGAGTGGGCCTAGTTTTCAGTTTCTGCGTTCTTGTCTTCTTCCAGCTGGAGCAAGCGGAGCGGCGCGTCACCCGTGGGCGAGGCCGAGACTCAGAGCGGCGGCGGAAACGCAAGACAGAGCGTGGTGATTGCCCAGCCCTGCCTAAGGAGGAATTGGAGCCAAAGAAGATCCGGGCGGCAGACCCAGCGCTGTCCCAAGGTGGCGCTCCCCCTGCAGCAGGCACAGACTGCAGCCACAATGGAGTTGGAGTAAGTGAAGAAGAAGGATGCCACCGAGTTGTCTAGGGGGGTGTTTGCAGGGCAGGTAGGGCTTTTTGTAAGGGGCTGGCTAGTTCCCTAACATGTAATAATTGTCTTCCCTAGCAGTTGTGACGGCTAGAAGATGCCTGGATTTCTCCTTCCTGGACTCTACTGCACTGTAAGGGACTCTGGCAGCCCCAGGTCACTCAGTTGGCTTGACTAGCACTCTGCATGGGGAGGCGCCCAGCCCTAGAAGTTGCGGCTGCATCTCCCCCCACCCCCAGGACTTGGCACTGGCCCTGCATCAGACTATTTTTCAGATGATGTAATATTTTATTTTCTTTTTCTCCTTTTGTATTGTCGATACTGCGGAAAGGGGAGGCATTGCAGGGGTCACCAACAAGCAGGGCCCGTGTTCTCTTTGGCAGAAGCAACTGAGGGGAACCACCGCGTTGCTGCTCTAAGGACCGAAGCCTTGCAGAGATCCAGCACGGGTGGTTGAATGTGCTGGGACAGTGCCCAGCTCCTCGCTTCAGGCAGTGAAAGGAGTTGGGGCCTTTCCTGAGAGGAGCGTCCTCCTTTTTGTACCAGCATTCCCTGGATACCGCAGGGACAGCACCTCCTGTTGCACAGAGGGGCAGCTCTCCCTAGACACCCCTGTCCTCCTCCTGGTACCTGTTGGGTTTTATAGGAATTGGGGTAACCACTTTATTCTCTAGGGTGGTGGAAAAGGCAAGGAATATTTTAGTTCCACTCCAGCCACTACTCCACCCTCATCGTCCCACCCCCCCAAATCATGGGCCCCATACTGCCTCAGGCTCTGACACTAAAAACCTTTTGTCTTTCTCTTTTTAGTGTTTTCCTTTATTTTCTCCAGCAGAGAAGGGTGGGATGTTGGGGGTAGGGAGGGGTGTGTTATTTTATTGTATTATGATTTTTTTATTATTATTATTAAACTTTGGAGGTTAACAAATTTACTTGGATCTTGGGATAAAGACGACCTGGTCAGTTAGAGTTGCTGGTGGCAGTTGTGAGCATGCCCAGTTTCACACAACATATTGTCAGTACTGTAGCTTGTTTTCTAATTTCCTACTATGTAGGAGCATGACCATAGAGTAATGAGAAGCCCTGAGTATCTTGTTTCCTTGTTTCAAACCTGAATTTTTGTATCATGGTTCTCAGTGAGGTGTAGTGTGAAATCGCCCTTTCACATTACTAATAGTTGTTGTAGATAATTCTATTTTGTTTCTCCAATTGTTAGATACACATAATTAGAGAATTGCAATTTTTGCAAAAATAATATATTGCCAGTGACAAAAAGCTATTAGGAACAAATCTTTCAGACCAATGAAAAGTAATAGAATTTCCTGAAATATTTCAGAAACAAACAAAAAACCATCCAGAGAATGAGTAGGACCAGTAGGTGAAGACAAAAAAGTAGAAATATGATAAGGCAAGTGAGTAGAACATGAATTCTGTCAGTTTTCATTCCAGATGAATTTAAGAATCATTTTGGAGAATGCACCTTTAAAAATATGCTAAGCAGAGGTAAATCAGAGGGCTCGTGATAATTAAAAGGAGAATCTGTTAATATCAGCTGGGCTACATATTATTTAACCACGATTTCTTAATTTTAATATAAAGGTTTGAGCTAAAATGTATGACTTATAAAAAGTGGCATTTTCTGTATATTTGTAGAAAGCATTATTATACTAAAGGTAGTTGAATACACTTTGGGCAAGCCTAAGAGGAACTAGCATGGATTCTGTGAGAGAAAAATCTTAGAATTCTGTGTCTCAAATGTGAAATTAGTGATCATCGAGAGATCATTGTGTACTTGAAATTTTCAGATACTTTTCACAAAAACCTCATACCAAAGCTTACGTTCAATGAGAGGGTATATCTTCCCATGCCTCCATATTTATCTCGGAAAAAAATGCAAGTAATGACACCAAAATACTCTGTTAAATTTAAGAAATGAGGCATAGCGGAAATAAATAGGGAATAGCCAAGTTGACACCTGGGTTTAGATTATGCAATCCCAACCAGCCTGGAAAAGAGCTTCGAAAGAGCTTCCCATCATCACATACTCTGGGATTCATTCCATGAGCTGTAGCGATAACCCCCCTGTCTCCCCTCACTCCCCATGTCCAGTGGCTTTTTAAAAATATTACCTTCTTCGGGAATAAAGCTGGTAAGACCTATCAACAGTGCAAAGTAAATGAAATTTAAACGTGTATTACAATTGGGGGTTGATGGCGCGCAGAGTATGGATCAACCGTAGATGAAACTTGGTTTGATCTGATACAGAATCTTGTTGGTTCTTGTTGTGGAAGAGCTCATAATCTGCAAGGGTCTTAACCATTTCTGTTAAAATCATCAGAAGGTGGAGGTAATAGAGATCATGTCTTTCTGCCATCAAAAGATACTTCCTCCAAAGAAGTTGCAACTGTTATTAATACTGAACTAGCATCTGTAATGGGTAAATACTTCCTGCTTTCTTTGACTGAAAAGCAGTTGGTATATATATATATATTTGTGTCCACTGTGTCACCAAGCCCAGATATTCTGTATGATTCAGTTATAGGCTGGACAAAAGAGAGGAACGGTGTGAGTACTTCCATTGAAGCAAGGGTTCCGTTTAATACCTGTGGCATAGGTGGTACTCGGGATAAACCACTAAACCCATTGTTAACATTGCCCCATTTCAGTTCGTGGCAATCAGGGCTTGATTCTGACGAGGCTGGGTCTTAAAAAACTACTTGTAACGTTGGGCTCACTGTGCATGGAACTGTTCTTCCTTTCACAAATCCACAATGGCCCTTTTCCATTTTGTTTAGAAAATAAACTGGTATTTTATTTTCTGCTACATGCTTCTGCAGCATAGGGTTAATAAAACGATGGCGTTAATGTTGAAGGAAGCCCCACAGTTTTCCTTCTATGATGTGAGAGAATGGCATAAGGTTGGGAATGAATACTGTTAAAAAAAAAAGAAGAAGAATGCCAAAGCCTTTGCAATTAGCACTGGCCACTTTTCCATTTCAGCAAAGAGCCAGTAAGCCCTGGTCCTAAAAACCCTGGAATTAGCCTGGACACACCGCACCCCACACTTTTGTTAGCAATAGTGTTGTCCCCTCAATCTGGAGGAAGCAAAGAGGTTTTTTCCCCATCTCTGGATCCACTCAGCTCTTTACAAAGAGTCCACTGGAATGTCATTCTCTCGCGCCAAAGATTAGGTCAAAGCCCCTCCCTGCCCACTGTCTTCCATCCAGCTCAGCTTCGAGGTGGAGTTTGATGCCCTGCCCATGGCTTGGAGCGGTGGTGGTGGTGGTGGTGATGGTGGGGGCGGTGGTTGTGGGGGCGACGGCGGGTGCTGGTGCTTTGCGAGTGATGGGGACTACTGGTGGTCCAGTTCAATGAGTGCTGCTGAGCAGCTCTGTACCAGTTGGACTGCTGTTCAGAACTCCACAGACTGGGCCCAGTATGGGACTGGTGGCCGCCTTGGCTGTGCTGGATATCCTGGGCTCTGTTGAACTGTTGCCAGTAGCTCTCACAAATACCCAGGGTAGGTGCCTCTTCCGAGGTGATGGCCCCCTCCAGCAAAGCCCGCGGAAGGACATGCAGACGAAGCCGCCGCAGCGTGTGGCGAAAGCGATTCTCGGTGCCCACGCATTGGTAGAGCCCACTGTCGGATGGCATCACTGGTCCTAAAAGCACACCTTGAGGTGTTTGAAGCAATATGCGATCCCGGGGCAACTGGGAAGGAAAGAGTGCGTGACATAATTGAAATTACTTTGCTTTTTCGATTCGCATCTTACTCAGCCGTTTCGCTAGTCGTTGGCCCTAGTCTGCATAAGCCGTAATGTGGTTGTTTTTTTGATCTAACCAAGCGTACGCGAGTGTGATTACGGGTTTTGTGAATTCAGCCAAGTCTCAGTTGCCAACTTCATGAGACAGCGACTTTAAATTTTGTTTTCTTACAAAAGTCCCCCCCCCCCATATGATCAGATTCTTCCAATCCTCGGTTTCAAATTCCCACAGTATCGGCGCGCACACAGCGCAAGGCCGCATGCGGGAGTGTTTAGCAGGACTTACCACTTTGCGTTTGGTGGAATCGTCTGTTTGCGTGAGCCACTTGATGGTCGCGTGGGGAGACCGGGGTTCACACTCCAGAAATACGCTTCCTCCTTCTAGTCCGTATTGGATCTGTTCACTTAATTGCTGTTCTGCTGTGATGGGGGCAGGGGGACCGGGAGGGGAACAGCATTCCTTGAGTTCTGAGACCCCCACTGCATTTCAGTAAAGGCTGGAAGTAGACAGTCCGCTAAGCACAAGTCTGGCTTCCAACAAGTTGTTGCTGTAAAAATATTTCATCCAAACCCAGCAGCCTTCACCCAGTTTCTGCTAAAATGAACACAAGAGGACTGCTCCCTTTTGACTCCTTTCTAAAGTACTGTGCTACTATAACCTCCTATCTACGTTCTTCCAACTTTTACCAGGGAAGAGAGAACAAAATTCAAGGATTTCTCCCAACGTGAACGCTGTTAAAAATTAAGCTTTTGTAGGAAATGGTCCTGGGATGCAGTAGACATTATAAAAACCTGTCACTCGTGTTGTGCTGGTCAGAGCAAGGACAATTTAGTAGTTTCTCCACTCTAAAAATGTGTGCAAAGCCAAAGCAGACTCCGGGTTAAAATTTCAAGCACTACAAAGGCAACAAAATAAAAGGTTTTTGGTTTTTTCGCAATACAGCTCTTGCCAGTGTCTGTGCTATCTTGGGCTGATGGGAGTTGAAGTCCAAAAACATCTGGAAGTTATTAACAATGTAATCTACCCAGGACCGCTTAGAAGTAGGCCCCTTTTCATTCCCCAGAAGTTTGAAGAGAGCGTGTCCACAATTACAGTCTTATAGGAGCATACAGTCTGTTTCTAGGCGTCTTCCTTTCTGCCTGTTTTTTTTAAAAATTGTTAATAAAGTGATACAGATTCTGCCACATAAAGCGGAGTTACCCAAGTGTGATGGCTTTATTGTGCAGTGGGGAACCGGTACAAAAAAAAGGCATCATGTTCTCTTTGTGGATCAATAAGACACACTTTTTCCATGGATCAGCTGTGCAAGGGAACAATTTACAAGGTGGGAGTGGGGAGTGATAATCAGTGGGCAAGTATATATAGCAATAGCAGTTAGACTTATATACCGCTTCATAGGGCTTTCAACCCTCTCTAAGCGGTTTACAGAGTCAGCATATTGC